AAACAGCTTACACTCTGTGCCATATTATAGTATATAAGTTAAACAGCTTACACTCTGTGCCATATTATAGTATATAAGTTAAACAGCTTACACTCTGTGCCATATTATAGTATATAAGTTAAACAGCTTACACTCTGTGCCATATTTAAATCCCAGAAAGGCTTGGCTCGCACACTGAAAGGTTCCACTGACTTATTGAGGCGTCCAAGTTTCATCTTTTCATACCGAGGCTGCACAATTTCCTTGTTGATACAAAGCAACCTTCTGTCAAAGTCTGCCCCTCCAACATTCACATCCTGAAACAGAGATTTCCAGGAAATAATGCTTTTGTTGTATAATGGTATAGTTCATTGTTAGTCAGCAAAGAATCATAAAGCAATAAACAAAATGATAAATAAAACCATTTCTCAAATCTGTTGAATTCATGGTTTATGAAAGTATGTTAACCAATAGTCACTTTTTAGACTTACTATGAACTCTCACTTATCTATCCACTATCATGAAATGTGAACTTCTCAAAATAATTTTCAAATATAGAAAAAAATACAACACACTTACAATTTTTAATATATAAACATATAGACAGTCAATGAAAACGCATCATTTATTTATCAAATAATATTTTAAGTTCCTTTGGCACATTAAGAAAATAACATTTTTCATGTGAAAAATGACCCATTATTCAGTCACACAAGGTGAAATAAAGGTCAGAAAAGATCATTAAAATGCAAGGTCACATGATTAAATCTCTTTGGTTCTGCCCAGTCTCCAGCATCCCCAGGGCCAGCAGTCGCTCTTCCAGTGTCAGACGTGGCATCACTGAACTTTTTTGTCATGTGTCATACTGTATTTGGTGACTACCTTAAATAGGCTTAATTAATCACCATATTGAACCGGATTAATTCACACCAATCACAAGACAGGAAAAACACATGATTTTGTAACAGCTGATCACAAAATCACTGAAGCAGAAATTTTAAACATCGAGTGGACAGCCCTCTCTCTTATGACCAAGTGCATTTGTACTCGTTTATATAGTTGGAATTGATTCTCTGTAAATAAGTACAAGAAAGTTTTTTTGATGCATTTTCATTGACTGTCAGTATATCTATATGGACTTACCTCAAACCTTATAATATCATAGATGAGATATCTAGGGACAGATTTGCCATCCACTTCATCCATGATCATTTCCTAAATATAGAGAGGATATTTGTATGTTAGGGTCATGATGGTGCCTCATGGAAAAGTCTGTGTTATTCCACAGACAGAAATCTCATATGAAAAAAAAAGTATAAAAATGAAAATTAAACACTACAATGTACTTTACACTTGCTATTACTACACAAAAACTAGCAAGAAAAATTTGTAAAATTATCTGTGTTAATTTTCATGGAAATAACGGATCAGCTTTCTCTTTCATGGAACATCTTAAAAATGCCAAATCGAATGTTAGAAAAAATGTAAAGAAAAAAAAAGAACTTCATAACTTCATTATATATTCCAATATGAATGGTTTTCCAACTCAAGTTGTGTTTTACTCTGTAGTAAAACAAAGCTGTCAAATGTACAGACAAAATGCAGAAAATAATGATACACAAATTAGATATTTTGTCAATTTTGATGCAAAAATACATAATGCTTAGCAACAAAGTCAACACCAAATTTTACTTATGCACATAGCACCAGACTTCACACCCATGAGAGTTGAAATTCATACAATGAAAATCTCACATAAAAAATGCATAAATTCAAGGAAGAAAAACAACCCAATCAAGGTGGTTTTCCAATTTGAGCTGTATGTCAATCCTAAGAATCATTCTTTGAAGTTTAAAAATAATAAGTAGCACAGTTTTCCTTTCATAACATTTGTGGTGGCAATGCACAAAATAGGTTTCTTTTGTCAATTCTGATGCAACATTACACAGTGATTTACAGCATAATCACCACAATTTGAAAATCATCAGTGACATGGTTTTCATAATAATTAACACAGTTTTCTCATGTTCACAAGTTAAATCTAATTCCTGGTGTTGCTAATGGCTGACAGATAGTGATAGCAATATGTTCAACCTGTCCATAAAAACATCATTCACACTGGCAAACACACAAGTATAACAATTAGCTACCCCGTCAACTAGAGTCTTGGATATGTGGGCTTCTAGATTTTTCCTTTTCGGGAAGCAAAGATTTGTAACATGGAAAACACAGTTGTCTCTGTCCACCATAAATATCCTATTTTTACCATCTATAAGCATCAAGTACCTAAAATGATAAAAAAATATACATTAAATGTACGAATGTCATACTGACTATCCAAATTTTTAGCAAAAGGGGTTGACTTATTTAATTTTAAGCTACTGTGTCTTGGTTTGTCTACACTATCACTTTAAGGCCATGTTACACCAGGCTCGAGTCCACTTGGAGCACCAATGTCAGCAGACTCTCTCACATGGTGAACATAAGAAAAGCATGCAATATTCAATATTCATATAATATAATATTTGTTATTATATGAATATGATGCTGACTATCAAATATTGTCAAAACTGTGAAGGACTTGAGAGAGGTTCTTCTAGAATTCACAAGGACATTGTAACAGGGTATTTAACAACTGTACAACACCTCTTCTTAAGTCAGCTGGTTTTCTGCACCAATCATGGAGTTCATTCTTTGACAATTACAAGATATATAGTTTCTAGAAGGAATGTATATGAAGTGGGAAAAGATTTCTTTCTTATAACAACTAGCAATTCACCTGACCTTGACATTTTACTTTTATCTGACATGGCCTTGACATTTGACCTTTACCTTACCTGACTCCATCTGCTTTCCAGCTGACTTTAAAAGGTTTCTGAGTGAGAAGAGAGAGGTTTTTAAGATCCATGGACACAGGCTGGGCGCCGGGAAAACCTGATCTGAATAGAAAAGTCACTTAACATATCAGATGAACTAAACAAAATAATAATAACAATAATAATAATAACAATCATCATTATTTTTAATTTTATAATATATATTTATATTTTTATATCATATATGTATTTTTACAATAAATATATTTTCAGTCTAAAATACATAACAAATGTTCAACAGACTTAAAATAAAGAGAATGCTTAAATATACAAATAATCAATATACAAAATTAAAAAAAATCAAAATGTTGTGTTTGTAGATAAAAATATAGTAGTTCACTGTGATTCTTTTTCACAAACATTTCATAACCCTTAACCCCCTAGTCCACACTTACTACGAATTCCATAACCAGCCAGAAATTGATAAAATCCCAGGGTTCTTACTCCAATTGTGATAAATTCTTCAAGCTCCTAACTGATTCTTTTTTATTCTCAGTCAGTTCTAGCAATTTTTGAGAGATAGTGAAATTGGGACAAAAGTTTTGAGCTGTTCAAAATATTGGTCCTGAACTCCAGAATGCAAAAGATCTTGAATTATTCTTAACAAACCCACGGTACATTCTTAGATATCGTAACTGATTTCTAGTACATTTTTAGCCATTCTTATGTATTCTTACTTTAAGCTGGGAATTGTAAAGCATTTGTCTAACCACAATTTGAGTACAATTCTGTTAAGTAGAGGTGAGGGGCTTTTTATACCTGTCTTGAGGGAACATTCCTCGAAAATCCAGATTACACTTCCAATTGTGCCATAATCCTAGGTGCATTCAGCAGATACTTCACTTTCTCTTAACTGAATCCTAATATTTGTGAAGTATTCCTATGTCTTTCTTGCAAATCATAACTGCTTTATCAATTCCTGGTGGTTTGTGGAATTTGTAGTTGATGAGGAATTGGGGCATTAGAATGATGTAATTAAATCAAGGGAGATGATAACATGTGAAGAGATTTCTTTACTTCTCCCATCCACAGTATTTCTGGCAGCATTGCTGTATATGTGCCAGTCTGGGCTGGTCCTGCACTGGGTGAACACCTGACACCAGGCCATCCATGAACTGAGCATCCTGACAGAAAAAACAGCTTCTACAACTATAATGTGAGTGACACAGAGGCAAGTCAGCAAACCTGTCTAATGCACAGACATAATGCAGACAATAACAATGCCAGTGCACTATATAGTTTTTGGTAAACTTTCATACAATATTACATAATGCTTTACAGCAGAATCACTGCCAAATGTTCATAATGTACTACAAGAGACATGGATGTCCAGAAACTGTAAATACCTAAGTAAAGGGCTTCAGTCCCACGGGATTTCAAAGTCATACAATGAAAATGCTAATTTGTAAATTAAAATCAGAAAATAATGTGATAGTGCAGAAAATTATAAGTTTTTTGTTAATTCTGATGTAATATTACTTAATGCTTAACAGCGTAATCACCACCCATTTTTCATTGTGTAGCACACGTAACATGGACATTCAGAAAACATAGCTTACATAGGCCTTCAGTCCCATGGGACTGCAAAGTCACAGATATATCCTTTAATTGCTTTCTTTTACATTCATTTTCCTTGTTAGTTTAAAGTATTTGTGTGACAGTGTAATGACAATGTTTTGATTTCTTTCACTATTCCCAACCTTTTTATCAATTTCTTTTCTCCGTTTCTTTCCTCCTTCCCCCTTCTCAATAGCTGCTTCCTCCAGGGGATGTCCATCATCATCCACCTCACCATTGTCTTCATAGCACCAATCAGGGAGGGGTGGGGCAGTGGGTGTGTCTTCTATGTCACCATAACGACTGAATAAATCTGACAGATATTCTTGTTTGTATATGCCTGGAGGTCTTGCCTGAATTTAAAAAAAAAATACATATCACTAACTAAGTTGTTTGGTTCCTATAAAATGAAAACAACTCAAAAACAAGGTAACCAAACTGTCAAATGAACAGACATAATGCAGAATATAATGATGCACAAAATAGGTTACTTTGTCAATTATGATGCAATATCACATAATGCCTAGAAACAAAATCACCACCAATCTTTTATTATCAAGTTTTATGAATATTCATCAGTTCTGAAAGTTAAAAACTTAATGTGTTATTTCTGAAAGTGCATGGCAACAAGAGCCACAACAGACACAGGTGACGGCTCTCTGTACAGACACAGACACGTCTGGACATAGAAAAGCCAAATGAATGAACATGAACATACAAACTGCTACATAAATCTGTCAAAAAGTGTTAAATTAAGTTTTTCTTATATTGTTTTAGTTACCAAGCCTGCTGATATTGAAAAAAAAATGCTAACATGTAAAGAAAGTATTATCAAATAAAAATTGATCTTATGGCATAAGAACAGTTTTCAACAGTTTGATTTATATCAAGAAAATATCAATTAGAGCACAAAGTAAAGTTACTTGACACTAATACTGAGTGAATAAATTATAAAATAAATCAAATTTTATTTACCTGATTAAATGTGTGTACTGCTGCCTCAATGCTTCATGAAAAATATATTTATAATAGTTAAAACAAGCATTCAGCTATGGCTTTGTCATGAAATATCATGAAGTAGTCATACATCAATAATACTTTAAGTTTTTAACATATTTACATGCTAACTTTACATTGTTTAATACAAAACCTTGGAATGTCACAAAAATTGCATCTATAAAGAAAAAACTGTCACGTTTTGTGAAACATCATAAAATCTGGTCACAGCTACTAGTACTAAAATTTATGATTCATAATGCCATTATATTAATACAACAACTTTCCAATCGCTATTACATGCATGATGTTTCAAAGAAACAATGACTGTAGTTTTCTACATCATAATATCCAAGTCAGCATCATTCACTGTAAGATCCACAGTTACAGAGGACAGTGGCTGACACACTCAGTAGAAACACTAAGACTGAACACTGTGCAGCACCTCCAGTCCATTCTCTCCACCAGGTAAGCTATGGTCAGGAAGCCAGTCCTGTTGAAGCCATGGGTGCAGTGGACTCCTGAAGTCAGAGGACAACAGTGATGAACAGAGCTGTGCTACTGCCTCTGGTACAGATACACTAACATCACAACTTGTCAATACCTCTGACCAGGACAGAAAGTGGGCTGGTCATAAGTTGGTCAATCGTCTAGGAAGAACAGGGCACAGGGGTTCACAGTAATTGGAGTGGAGTTTTTAAACCAATTTTCAAAAAGCTATCCAAGCTTATTGACTCAAGAATTTTTACCCCGCAACAAGGCCCTTAAAACATCATATACACTTAAAAAGTTTTTGAAGTTGTCTAAAAATTAATTCCTTGTAATTTATTTATATGTTGCCACTTTACTACTGACATTATTGTATCAGACTTGCATTATCAATCAAAGCTGTGATATTTCTAAACATCATAATATTCATATTACTAGTAATAGTGCTCTATCATACTGCTGTAGACCAATGTAAGGTGAATAGAGGGTGGGTTTTTCACTGGAATGGCCCTCAACACATACCTATAACTTCAAGAGGCTTTTGTCGTATGAAAGTTTCACAAACATTAAGGAAGGCCTGAGTCTGTTCAACTGAAGGTGCACTTCCATGCCTACAACAGAAATATGATTAATTACAAAATGACACCATATACTGAAAACAACATAGAGTAAATGCTATTATGATATCAGTGAAATAATTTGCAAAGCAATTCTGAATCAAGTTTCCAGTGTGTCACTTTGCCAAATGAGAATGTATACCATTGAATTCTTTCACCTTAAGTTACTTAGAGCAATGACCCTGCTAGTCCTCATGAGAAGTTCACAGCAGACATCTTGTCTGGCATACCTCACAGAGATAGAAGAAGAGGGATGAAGAAAAAGATGAGCAAGGAAGGAAGGAGGGGGGGATAACAGCATGACTCAGGTAAAGACTTCAATTAAAACAGAAATTACTGTCATACCCTCTGCACTGCAGTTTCAGGTATTTACAATCAAATTGCTTTTCAACTACAGCACTGTTGTAAAACCTTGTGGTATTGGTCAAGTCAATTAATAAGCCCATTTTAACCTAAAATAAAAATACATCATTTTCAGCCTACTGTTATCAACTGTGGTGAATGCTGAGGAGAAAAATCATTTTGCTCAGATAATTAAAACAAAACATTTCAATTTTAAATACCATGAGACATAAACATATTATTAGTTTTGAACATTGGACATGGCACTTTTTCATGAATTCACTGCATCAAATTAAAGAAGAGCATTTTGCCTAGAATGTCACCTTATAACTTTTGAGTGAGGCAAACAGCAGGTCCAGGTCAAATCTGTTGGCCTCTGGGACCTGGTCATTGTAGCGGCTGTCTAGAGGGGTCTTGAATGGGATGAATTTTTCTGTAAAAATAAAATAACAAATAAATAAAAAGAGCCATCTCGAAAATCGTTAAGGAAAAAGCCAATATCTGCTGGTGAAAACAGAGACTAGTGGAATCCTGGACTCGATCTCAATTATCTAAGATGAGCCATTTTCTATTCTCTAATTGATGTGAGTAGATGTTGTTCCTTACTGGGGGTGCAGAGGCCAGTATACAGAAGGAAGCTTTTAACTTAGTTTCAAGGTTGTAAGCAAACAGTGAGAAAAAAATTCAGCTTGTGATAGATAGTTGTTTCTTATTATTCAACTGCCAAGTTAATGGCTATTTCCGCATATAAACTTTTTGCTTTGTTTTTACCTGCTATCAATGCCCCTTTCCTGGGACATTCCAACCATCTGGGTGGTATTGGTAGACTGCCTCTCTGCAAACACAGTCAATCTTCATAAAACATTGGACTTGAAGGATTATAAATACATGGTACCAATTAATAGCAACTGAATTAAACATAAATAAATAAATAAATAAATAAATAAATTAATAAATAAATAAATAAATAAATAAATAAATAAATAAATAGTGTCAGCATCCTATACTGTGGGGTGGTTGCTGCAGTATAGTCCAGGTATATCACAATCCGCTAGGGGCGCTACAGTAGTAACTATCCAGGGGCAGTGAAGTGTAAAGCTGATAATGGCCTGCTGACAGCTCGCCTATGGCACCCCTTTTTTAAATCTCTCTTTTAGCGCCGTGTAAATAAACAAATACAAGCCATTTACTAGATAAGCTGTAAATCAAAGAGTAAATTCCGGCCACGTGATTTTCTGTATTGCAGTATTAGAGAACTTTGATTTGAGGACGTCTTTAAGTTTTGCCTCGACAAAATGTTAAAAATTTCAGATAAGTACTGCATGGATGTTTTTGTAATTTATTGTGTGTAAAGTTCATGAAATTTGCAATATCATGCCGAAAAATCATGAAAATTGAACCATGCGAAGTATAGTTTATTTGATGCGCAATATTTATAGTACATGATTTGCACGGAAGCCATCCCATCCATGTGCTTGTGCGGTCGCCAATTTGGGTTTGTTTCCGGGTCATTAGATTAACATACAGCCCTAATTGCCCTAATTGGTCACAAGCAATTTGAGCTGCAGCTACAGCTGAGTGATCACCGCTGGTCAGTAGTTACAGGTTTTTAGCTGAAGAGTGTGGACACTTTTGGTGAATTTTTGCAGTTAAAAAACTTCAATATCTTTGTTGCTTGTTGGAATATTTTAAAAATTCCAAAAGAATTCATCTGTTTTTTGTATTACCTTTCAGAAGATATAAGTATAATAATTTTCTGATCAGTTTGAAAAAAATTCTGATATACCTAGTATAGTCTGGACTCGATGAGAATTTCACCTACATGCACATACTGAGGTGTAAAAATAGGCTATCACAAGTATTTTAGTACCTCCCTTACTTTTATGTCTGGGTAGATAATTTTAGCTATAAATACAGACTAAAAACGTGATTAAACCCCGTGGTCTGAACTATATTACTTCTACTGGCGTTATAAATTTCCTATAACCTTGTGTTTGTTGCTTGAGTTCCACTTGCTAGTGCCAAGCTGCTGTGTGGATGAAGTGCCGAATGGGACAAGTGGCTACCATAATTTAACGTGAAATGCTGATACAAAACTCCTACTACTGGGATAAGGTTGATAAGCAATTTACCTTCTGGTTCATTTTTTGCCAGTAAATCCTAGGAAATTGAACAACAGTTTGTTTTGACTAAGTTGCCAGTTGGATTCAGCTACCGGAGTTCACGACCGGAAGTAAATAAAATGTCTTAGCATCATGGGTGATATTTTAAAACTACCAAGCATTAAGATTTATCATTGATTACCAAAAGTATCCAAACCATAGAGAGTATAATGCTTTGCAAATGAATGACAGTAGAAAAAGAACATATATCTTACATTAGTGCTAATATTACATCTCGCTTTAACACGGGAATGTACGAGACCAAGATGTCAGCGCCCATTAGTTACACGTTTGTTGTAGAATGCATTGAGCGTTAAACTTTACTTTATGCTCGGATGAAATAAATCTGCAATTTTAGATAGTTTTAATTTAAGGTATTTAAATTATTGAGTAGGTCAACAGATATGGGTAAAAACAAAAGCAGGAGTTTGAAGAAGTTTCAAAAGCAAGCTGTCTCAAGGCCGAAAAAAGTTTTGAAAGACAGAAAAGCTAGCTCAAACTCAACACAAAATGTCAGGCAACTTGTAACGTGGAAATCTAAAGGAAAGGCGAAAAATGTACAGAATACCGATTCAGAGTTGGAAGAAGTTACTGCTGGATATGAGAAGGTAACCGTAGACTTCTGATAAATCTGTTTTAATTTGATCATTATTTTTCAGTCAGCTAAGTGTTGTTTTTGTTTTGGTATTTTTTTCTCTAAGCCACTGCCACATATATAGCCTCAGATCAAACTATGTAACCCCAATAAAAATGAATAAGTAAGACGTTTGAGTGCATGACAAAATTAATTTTATTATTATTGACATCTTGTGGCGGTTTATGTATCTCGGGGCTCCTTTGGTCAATGCAGGGTCTTCTTTAAATTAAACTGCAGCTTTTAATGTGTCGTCAGTTCCATTGTTCAGTTGCAATTCAAAGTGACGTCTGTTGTCATTAAAGGAATTCACCCAGAACCTGTTGGGGCCAACTCTATACCCCCCCCAGCACATACACACATCCCACAGCACTACTGTACTGTACTGTAGTATAATTATAATATTTGAAATGGTGTAACATATTCAAAAAGCATCAATTATTTACTATTGGTGTTTTTTTTAATGTCTTATTAAAAATAAAATCATTTTCATGTAAGTTTTTCATGATGTCTTCCTTCCTGCTTTAAGTCATGTAAAAGAGGAGCTTTTGAACAATATACTGAAAGCGTTAAATCAATTTTTATATTTTGAAGTCAAAAGTAATAATGTGTTTTAAAAATTTTAGATATATGTGCAGTTCCTTAGTCAACAATGCAGATTTTACTTTTATGGGTTGTTATAATGTAAATAGTTTTTCTGGATTGAAGTAGTTTACCACAGGTTGACCTTCTCAGTCAATCCAGTTTGATGTCCAGGCTGTGACATGTATAAAGTTTTTACACTGTGTGTTCACCATTGCAGTGGCAGGTTCCTGAAGATGTGGAGCAGGATTCTGGAGATGAGGAGACAGAAACAAGAAAAATGTTGACGGAGCAAAACAAGAAAAAAAGAAAATCAGGAGGCTTTCAATCTATGGGTAACATCACTACATTTGTTTTTTTTAATGTGTTTTAAGAAATGCATTATGAAATTGTGTCAGTTGGATATCATGGTTATCTGTTCATTTCAAGTGCTTTTTTTCTTTCTTATCGTAGTTACACAAGGTTTATTTTTATGACGTATAAGGCCTTAATAAAATATATATACCACTGGCAGGTTGTATATAACATATAATCTGTTGTAATTACTTATTGTTGTTATATAATATAAGGTAATCAGTCCAATGTGGCCTTATGTCCCACACGGGAAGAAGAGGAATGATGATGATGATATAGTCTAATTTAGAACACTGCTTGAAAATGTTGTGTACATTTCTAGAATAATCTTACTCCATAAATATGTTTATTTTCAGGATTATCCTATTCTGTGTACAAAGGTGTTACACGTAAAGGTTACAAGATACCAACTCCTATTCAGAGAAAGGTAAAAGAGAGTTAATGGTGTTTTTGCAGGTACTTCATTTCATCCAAAATTATCAAGTCAAATTTTCTTTTGTGGTGACAATTTGAATGTTTGAATCTCTTTTATTGGGAAAGGAACTTTGAGTCAATGGGACTGTTCACCAATTGTTATTTTCAAAATTTGCAGTCCTGTATCCATGATGTAAATAATTTCTATTGATGTGAAGTTATGGTCTTTTAGACATGACCAGAATATATGGTCTTTTAGACATGACCAGAATATTACGCTATGACAGTGGGAATTATAATAGGAACCCACACTAAATCCTAATGTCAGTTATTTACACTATGACAGTGGGAATTATAATAGGAACCCACACTAAATCCTAATGTCAGTTATTTACACTATGACAGTGGGAATTATAATAGGAACCCACACTAAATCCTAATGTCAGTTATTTACATTATGACAGGGGGAATTGTAATAGGAACCCACACTAAATCCTAATGTCAGTTATTTACACAGTTATATACCTGAATAGAAAATACTCTTCGCCTATTTCAGACAATGCCAGTTATAATGGATGGGAAGGACGTGGTGGCCATGGCAAGAACAGGCTCAGGGAAAACAGCTGCATTCCTGATCCCTATGTTTGAGAAACTGAAGGCTCATTCAGCCAAGTCTGGTGCCAGAGCTCTGATCATGTCACCTACCAGAGAGCTGGCAGTCCAGACTCTCAAGTTTACTAAGGAGGTCAGTTATCACTTAATGCTCTGTCTGGGTGGTCCTGTTCAACAGGATTTTCATGCTGTATGAGCCATAGTTCTCTAGTATGACCTGTGTAAATATGTTTTAAGCATTTAACCTATACGACCGAAAGAAGTGATTGGATAGATACTTTTAGTACCAAAATGCAGAGTCATGTCTATATGATAAAAGAGGCACAATGTTTTTATTTTCAGCTTGGAAAGTTCACTGGACTTAGGTCAGCAGTGATCCTTGGCGGAGACAAGTAGGTGGTTAGCCAAACATGGCATATTCATTAATTCATGTTGAATTTTAGGACATTTTTATGACATTTCATAGTGTGTACTGTAGTGAATCTTTCACAGAGATGTAAAGTAGTGATGTGTTAGCAGCCTTGCAGTAATTTGAACTGAAATCCTGTGGTGAAGGCAGTTGATCCAGGTAGGTTGTTAGGAAAATTAACGTCACTTTAAGTTGTTTATGTAATGTGTCTTGGCAAGAGACATAACATAATTTTTTTTATACCTAATCGCTGATGCGGTTTTAATATGTAAATATGTTTGGGGGGGAGGGGGGGGGGGGAATAACCAAAAAGATATGGCAGGTGAGACATGGTGTGACTCTTAGACCTTTTATCATGGCATGTAGTGAAGTCAGTTATTTCAGTGAAATGGTAGTAAGTTATTCCATCATATTTTGTAGTGAAGCGGGTTATTACACTAAAAATGTGCTTGTTTTCAGGATGGATGACCAGTTTGCTGCCTTACATGAAAATCCAGATATGTAAGTCTGAAATTGTTTTTCAATTTGATATTTTTATATGATGTTCAAAACATTTGGAGTAAAGAAAATAAAGATCAGAATGGCTGCATGTGTGTGTGTGTGCGTGTGTGTGTGTGTGTGTGCGCATGTGTGTGTGTGTGCGTGTGTGTGTGTTTATTTTGTTACATGTGTGCATTATTTTTCACAGCATCATAGCGACACCAGGGCGATTCCTTCATGTTATGATGGAAATGGACTTAAAACTGAGCTCTGTGGAGTATGTTGTCTTTGATGAGGCAGATCGTCTCTTTGAAATGGGCTTTCAAGAGCAGTTGCAGGAAGTTCTGAAACGTCTCTCAGACAATCGTCAAACCCTACTGTTCTCAGCTACCTTGCCAAAGTTGTTGGTGGATTTTGCCAAGGCGGGACTGACTGACCCAGTTTTGATCAGGCTGGATGTTGATACTAAACTTAGTGAACAATTAAGGGTAAGGTAATATCAAGTACATTTTAACAAAAGAGAATGTCATACGGCATAAATTAAGGATTTAGTAAAATGCTAGTCAGCCTACTTGATTGGAGATATTGTATTGATGCAAATTCATTTTGCTTCTCTTGTGACTTGAAAGAAGATGAAAAATTTAAAGCCTTTGTTTATGATTTTGAAATGTCCACTTGTTGCTTAAATTGTTAAAACACATATTGATCTAAGTTTACCCAAATAGAAAATATTATTAAAAAGCGTGAACGGCAGAGGTGCTGCACAGGTTACTGTGTTCTCTTATTCTGTAATGTTCATTCCAGCTTGCTTTCATCCAGTGCCGAGCAGATGACAAGGTCTCTGTGTTGCTGTATCTGCTGCACAATATTATCCAGCCTACAGAGCAGACGGTCATCTTTGCTGCCACCAAACATCATGTGGAGTACCTGCATATGGTAGCATTGTACATGTTATAACAACCATATCAGAGGACACTATATATTGTGCATACTCTTGTGTTAAAACACACATGCACTCACACACAAAGCAGACACTGCTGTATGTACTGAGCACTCTTGTGAATGTATGAAAACACACTTGTGTGTGTACACATACACTCGCAAACACTCTTTTTGTGTATGCCTCATATTCTTATCAGTTTGCTGTAATTCCAGATCCTCACCCAGGCAGGAATAACCAGCACTTACACATACAGTGACCTTGATCAGACAGCAAGAAAAATCAACGTAGCCAAATTCCAGCTGAAGAAGTGCATGGTGCTGCTAGTGACGGACCTGGCCGCCAGAGGGATAGATATTCCACTGCTGGATAATGTGATTAATTATAACTTCCCTGCCAAACCCAAGTTGTTTGTTCACAGAGTTGGTAAGGCTCATTCTGCGCTGTGCTGGATATAATGTGTTTACAGAGTAAATTTTCAGAAAGGCAAAATTCTTAACTGTGCCAAACAAGGAGAGACCAAATAAAGCTTTGAACAATTATGCATGTATAATATATTAATTTATTTTTCCAGGCAGAGTTGCCAGAGCAGGAAGGAGTGGCACAGCATTCTCTCTGATATCATCAGATGAAGTCGCTTATGTTTTTGACCTTCATTTATTTCTGGGACGACCTCTAAACTTTGCCTCCATGACTGCAGCAGAGTCAGCAGGTGAGGATATAGAAGACGAGTCACAGATAGAATGAAGACTTAACAGGGTTCAACTGTATTATGTCATTAATATCCAACAAAATTGATTTATCATATTTACCAGAGTGTGTTTATGATGTATAAAAAGGATGGTTTGAAATCTTGAAAAGCTAGTTGAGTTCATATTAGAAAGCACCTGTTTTTTTGGGAAACTCAAAATGACAAATTTTAAGAATGTGGATAGCATAAGTTTGTTTGAAAAATGAGTACTTTGTAGTCTTGTCAGCAGTTATCCACCTTAGTTAATGTGATTCAAAATATTATGGTGAAAACCAGTTTTATAAGAGCCGGACACTTATCCTTAATTTCAGATTTATCCAAAATCAGTATGATAGTAGTAATTGAATAACTAGTTTGTTTAATTGATTAGTACCAAGGCTTTCCTCAGATAGCTGTTCAGCAGTCATTTGAACAGCACTTGCCTCAAAAGACTGTCTATATTTTCAAAACATCTTGATGGCTTACAAAATTATTGGGGAATGATGGTGTATTTGTAGTTGGACTCCTTGTAAATTGGTGACCAAATTACAGATCAACATTTTAGACACCATGCACCTCAAATCCTGGGGAAACCCCCTGATTATAACTCTATTTTTTTCTCAAAGACCCTAAAAACTCGGTTATTTTTTCTCAAAAACCCTAAAGCTCATAGTCTACATTGCTGACTTTCTGAACTCGGGCTGGGTAATGAGTAGTTTTGTTGTGTTCATCACAGTTAATCACAGTTTTCGGATTTTAATCCTTTAGATCCCAATCCTGATGGCGTGTATGGCAGAATTCCTCAGTCTTTGGTGGATGACCAGGACCAAATCCTTCAAATATGGCAGTCTACCTCAGTCGAATTGGTGAGGAAATGTTTTTCAAGTTTTGTATATTTATTCATTAAAGTTTCAACTGGATTGAGGAAAAGACCTTAATATTGCAATTCTCAATTATTTCAAACCTAAAATAAGTGCAATGAAGACTGTGTGAAGACCTAGTGTCTAGGTTATTATGTGATGTTGTAATAAGGCAAGCAGCAGAATATTTTTTCCTTCATTTGACATGTTTGGGTTTCAGGAGGGTATGAAGAAAGTAAGTGATAATGCCTACAAAGGTTACCTGCGGTCAAGGCCTCCTGCCTCAAGTGAGTCCATTAAGAGGTCCAAACAGATCCAGGAGCAGCACATAGGGATCCACCCTCTGTTCAGTGAGTTTTATCTCAGTGAAGATTAAATCATTAAGTCCTGTTTGTAAAAATTTCACGACTTTATTGCAGGAGAAGATTACTGATTGGCAGAGATAATTTCAAGAGCTTTGGTGATAATTTACCCTTTCCAGGATCTGCTGATGCTGAGCTGGACAATTTAAGAGCCAAACTGCTGAATAGCATGAAAAACTACAGACCAAATACAGTAAGAATTTAGTGTCTTTTACAAAAACTACAGATCCAGTACAGTAAGAATTGATCGTCTTCATCAAATGTATCCATTATTGTAGTAGATTATAATGAATATTTTGCAGAATGGTTTGAACTGTTCCTGTTTGTCGTATTGCTGGGAAGAGATATAATAGTTGAATGTATGTCCATGTTGTAGACAATATTTGAAGTGAATTCCACGGCCAGGTCCCAAGCATTTGGTGTGATGAAGGAGAAGAGGGAGAAACACAGCAAGGTGATCACGACCAAGAGAAAGTATACAGAGGAGGAGGATGGAGGGAAGAAGGGAGGGCAAAGTGTCAGGTTGGAAGCATGTGAGCCAAGCACTGAGGAGGAGTTGAAGGTGAGAAGTGCAGGAAGTTGACAGGCTCTGGCATCATTCTGAGAAAATCCAGACCCAAGTTTGCTCCTGCAACCTTGTAAAAGAACACTCAGTGATGAGGTATTTTTTCATCCATGCATCCAAGACAAAAATTTCATTTTGTGTATCAAAATTAAGCAGTCATGTCACAAAAATTGGAGATCATTTGTTTGGTCCTGTCAGATTTTGTCTCCCCTAATTGGTCTCTACTGATGGTTAAAAACCAAAAACAGGAATCTGTGCATATTGCCTGTGAGTCGGAGACACACAGTAGGGATCTTTTTTCTCTTCTTTTACAGAACACATTTGCAAAGGTCATAGTTCCTAAGAAATATGATGAAAATTTTAAACCAAAGAAAAAGAAAAGAAAAACAGTAGTGGTTAAGGATGAAGAATTTTATGTTCCCTACAAGCCAAAAGACTTTGAATCAGAAAAGGGGTAAGCTATATTTTGGTAGAATGGTGAGCATTGGGACCAAGAAAAGCAAAGGCAGGGTGAAGAATTCTTAAGCAGGAGAAAACTCCATCAGAGAGAAAAGAAGATATGCTTCTTGTACATCCCTTGTCCTTCAATGTTTTGTTAATTTTTGTCTGAAAAGTTACTGATATTACTATTTTTACAATTTGAAATTTAGTTTAGTTGGTTATAGTTTTATCAATAGTAGGCCTAGATGTGCGTTTTTGAAAATACATTTCTTTTTTTGTGACATCAGATTTTCATCTTGCAGCATTAGTACAAGCGAAGAATGACTTCCCCTCCCACACACACACACACTCACACACACACACTCACACACACTTCAGCTGAGAGGAGGCAGTGTGGCCATGCCTTCCTGCTAATGTCTTGTGTCATACATGTTTTTACAGGAATAATTATATATTATTTGTAACAGAATAATTTGAAACAGAGAAGCTGTTTTGTTCCAGAAGTAACTGTGCAGCAAAAATGTGATTTTAAAACCTTAATGATGCAATATATTTCTATTTGTTCAATATTCTATTCTCCAGGTTAAGTGTTGGCTGTAGCTTTGACCACCAAGCAGCCAGTGCAGTGTTGGACCTGACAGGGGATGAAGACAGCAACATGAGGAAGATGCAAGGACACCTGAAATGGTACATTTTCCTCAGAAACATTTTGATGAAATTTTCAAGATAGGTCTGAAAAATATTAAATAGTGATTGGATTTTGGTGGTGGCAGATTAACTAAAGGTTACTTTTTATATACAGATACTGTAAGTGTTAATTCTTATATACAGACACTGTAAGGTTTAGTTTTTATATACAGACGCTGTTAGTGTCTGTCTGGTCTGTCTGTCTGTGTCCTTGCTGTGCCCGGCACTGTGAATGTGGTTGTTCAACACATCACACTCGCCCCATAACTTCCAAACCGCATTTTTTTTTACTTTAAATTTACCAAGTGGCTTTGTTTGGTAAAGAGGCAGGTTGCTTTCCAAAATCAGCATGATTGGTCTTAATTTACAGTATTTATTATGTTTTTTTACCTGTAGTCCATAATGTAAGGTGGTAAGAGTGATTATGCTATTTTAAAGCATTATGTTCCAGTGCATCAAAATTGGCCAAAAGCACTTTTTCTGTGTAATGTGTTTACATTTGACAGCCTGGTGTCTTTATATTTGTTAGCTTTGCTGTCTAGTTTTCTGACCGTGATCAACATTAAGCAAAAGTTATGGAGGGATATGGTGAAATTTTCAGGAGTATATAGGATGGGCTAGATTTTGCCAGTGATTAATTAATTAATTGTTAAATGATAAATAGTAATTATGATAATAATGATAATTATTGAGTCATCCTAGAAAATGTTTGCAGTAATGAATGCCTTTGTAATTTTTTTATGAAAAGGTTTGTGTCTGTTTAGCTGAACACAGTTAACTTTACAGGGACCGCAAGAAAAAGAAGTATTTAAGGGAGACTGGTCCAGGGAAAGATGGAACAAAGAAGAAGATTAAGACAGAAAGTGGCACTTGGATTGCAGCCACATACAAATCTAATGTGTATCCTTTGATGTTATCTTATATTTTGACGTGACAGTATGGAATAAAGTTATGTGGAAGAAATGAAAGTGCTTATGAACTTCTTGAACGGTGTTTAACAATTCTTGTTATTCTCTAGCATGTCTTGGTGGCATGGCTCTGTTTTGTGATAATTAAATGGTATTTACACTTGATACTTAATGACTTTATAGGTGTAAAAATGATGGAAGATGTGATTTCTATGGTTATTCAATCTTTTCTGTGATTTTGATGATAACAAAACCTTAATTCCCACAAACAGATACAAAGACTGGCTAGAGAGGAACAAGGTGTTAGAGCAAGAAAGGGGGGAGGATCAAGAGAGTGAGGGGAAGACACATGAGAGGAAAGGAAACTTTCAGGTCTTGGGACACAAGAGAAGAGGAAGAGGGCGTAAGTGACAATAAAGCTACTTTCGTATTAATGTTTTTTTCCTTCTTTTTATATTTACTTAATTGATTAATTTTTTATGTATACATGTACATAAATAAGTGCATATGATAATATAATATTAAATATAAATTATAGGCACTTTCTAATAATTACTCTCTGAAGTTTTAGACTGAAAAATATCATGGTTTCATCTCCCTTGCTTAAGTCAAGTTAATGATAGCTTGTATTTTTTGCATTTGCAGAATTTTTCTCCAAGACTCTAAAACATAAGTAAATGTTTATAAACTGTCAGTGGGTAATTAGATATTTATCATGTAATATTATTCTTTCAGATTTTGGTAATTCAGACAGATTGGGATCAAATAATAAGAAAAGGTTCAAGTCAGAACTAAAACCTAAAGAGGTTATTCTCAAACATAGACGCAAGAAAGCACAAGTTCAGAGTCAACAAAAACGAAGGCAAAGAATAAATCATAAGAATAAGGCAATGGCAGGACGCAGGGGAAAACATTGCCAAGTTTGAGGTCATTTATTGCTGTTTCTTCCTTTTGTAATAGCTCACTCATTTCCACTCCACATAGTTTTATACTTCTTAAAATTTATAATTTTGGTTCGCAATGCATAAGCTGTGACATAAACTCTACACCATTATTCAGCCTGGGGTATATTATTCTCAGTAGACTCCAATACTGCTTTGAGGATGTGATTAAAGCATTTTGTTTGAATTTTATATGCAATATCTGTATTAAAACTTCAAATGAAAATATCAGTGAAAGTGAAATTGTGAAAGGGCATTTTTATTTTCATTTCTGTGTACATCAATACAAAAACATTTTTGAATTTAAAAAACTGTTAAATGTATAACGAATGGGTATTCGTCATGGTCAAGTCTTTTTATTCAAAGGTAAATTGTTACAAATCTGTTAACTAAACTTTGTAACCCATGGAAAGGTTTGAACAATAATTTGAAAGCTTAATTACTGACACACCTGATGATCTGGTGAGAAAATCACCTACAAATGTCTCTATTGAATAAATGTTTTGTATGAAATTGACATTGCAAACAGGAAATTATATTTAAGATCATGATATATCTATATATCCCACTATGACAGAACTGAATAATACAGTGGCAAAGTAGCAGCAGTATATTTCCATTAAGTGGATATTTATGTCTCCTCCATCCCAGTGTACCACAAACTTTTATAGTCCCTTTCATGATAAGAAAGAAGGCAACAAAGACTATCAATTGTTCGTGATTTGGCAAAACAAGGCCGCTTTTATTATATAACCTCACTATTCTATCATTTTAACAATAATAACAATGTAGCAAATTGTTGCCTGTATTAAGCGTTCTGGCCTAAGGGATAAAAACATATATCAAATATTCAATAAGACTCGTCATCCTAAAAGGTATGATGTGATGAGTCAGCAAAAATTATTATTTACAAACAATTTTGCACAAATTTCGTTTGTGGGGTTGCAAAGAGGCTTTTGTTTATTAAGGTAAGACCAGCTGCTGAACCAAATTCTTTCTCAGTGCCAGTAAACAGCGTGTAGTTTTATAGTAATAAAAATCTTGGAAGTAACATGAATTTGCTTCTTTCATTCTGTCATTTTCATAAACCAGATCTCAAATTAATTGTTCAATATACTTTATTTTGATCCTCTGAATTAAACTCGAGAACAAAAGCTGTTTTTTAAATAATAATTTTGAATGTTAAATCAAAAGAAAAAGGTACTTAACTCTCTGATTAATTACCTGATTTTAGGTATTTAAATTCTAAGTAAAATAATAGTTTGGCAACCTATGTTTTCTTCAAGACAATGTTTATAGACATTTAAGACAATGTTTATAGACCTTTATATTTGATCCCAATATACAACTACATGAATATTCATAATCCAAACACTAGGGAAATGTACTGGAAATGCCATGGCTCTCAGATGTGGAGAGGGGTCATGCCATTGCCACAGTGTTGTTTTGAGCAGGCATGAGTGGCAATTTCCAGATATAACTGCAGTGGTGGAACTTTGACTGCTCAGCAGTACAGAGGTGCAGTTCTTAGGACAGCTGTTGTACCTTTCATGCATCAACACCCAACTGTTCACTTGTGTCCATTGCCATACTGCCAGGCTAGTACTGGCACACCTTCAGTAGGAGCATATCCAGACCTGACCATGGCCAGTGTTTTGAGTCCCAATATGTCTCTCATTGAGCATACCTAGGATGAACTGGGTAGACAAACTTCATAATGGCCAGCCACAGCCTACCACTGTCATAGACACGGAGTTAAGAGCTGCACTGGAGGAACAATGGAAAAGGATGCCTGCTCAAAACAACACTGGCAATAGCATGACCCCTCTCCAGATTTGAGAGCCATGGCTTTTCCAGGTATACTTATTTACACCAGCATTGTGTACATTTCCCAGGGCTGCATTTGAGGTCTTGTACAGTCCATTCAGAGGAGGGCACTAGCCTGTATTGCATTCAGAGGAGGGCACTAGCCTGTATTGCATTCAGAGGAGGGCACTAGCCTGTATTGCATTCAGAGGAGGGCTCACACATTACTGAGCAATACTACCCTATTATTGTTACAGTATAAAAAATTATATTAAGCCAAAGACGTAACAAAACATGTTTCTTTTTCAATCTACTATATATTTTTATGCCTCATTTTCCAAGAAGACACAAGAGACATCATTTACCAAGTGACTTGGCTTCAATCTGTAGGTTGCAATGCTTGGATCTTGACACAGAGAGGAAGTAAAAGGTGTTTATCAGGTCAAGGGTGAAATGGACAGAGGAAAGAGAAAAACCCGCCTCTTATTCCCTACTAAAAGAAGGATCTAAAAGCACCAACTATATTAAAAACATACCAAACAGTAAAAAACCTGCAAGTGACTAATTTTTTAAGGAGTCTGTTGGAATGATATAAAGCACTTTGTTGTAAGGTCCCAAAATGAATAGCACCAGCTGGGTAATTGATCTGTAGTACAAGGGCAATGGGGGTTTAACATGTATCCCAAAACAATATCCAAGATTGCTTCAGGTGTCATTGCAAACTGATAAACAAGGGTATTAAATTTAATTAATTCTCCAAACCAAACAGGCTTCAAAGAGGTTTGTGCTGTACCCCACCGATGGGCAAATGAGAGTGCATAGACTTGTTGGGTAACATCTCTTGGCAGAGTGTGTACAAAAAATGACGCCCGAGGTAGAGGGTCAGTTCATGTTTGGGGAGAAATCTATGTCCATGGTCATAGTAGATTGGTACTTCTGGAACAGAACGTGGAGGGGGCAACTTACAGTGACATGCTCGAGAAACATTTCATTCCCTTTGCCAGAGTTGACTTTTAGGACAACTACAGACTACAACAGGACAATGTCCCTGCTCACAATTGTCATTTGGTGAGGGATTTTGTGCAAAGGAGCAATGTTCAATTGATGGAGTAACCGCCTTTAAGTCCAGACACCAACCCTATTGAGCATCTGTGGGATCAATTAGGGCACACGGTGCAAAGGAGAGACAACCCACCTACTAATCTGGATCAACTCTGGCAAGACCTCCAGGAAGAATGGGGAAATATTCCAGAAAACTCACTCATGACTCTTGTTAGAACCATGCGCCGTGCTGACACCATTAAACAGACACCGTGACAACATATCTATACACCACGATCATAATATATGCAAACACACACAGTAATGTAACAAACATACACATAATATTAATCAGACTTACACAGTGAAAACAGAATGTACACAGCAATCAGAATATATACAGATACATAGTTTACAAAGACAACACAAACATGTACTGAGTAATCAGAATTAATACCAACAAATACAGTGACAAAACAGACATACACAGTGACATACGTAGGTGGTGATCAGAATATATCAATCAGACATATACAGTGACAGCAAATAATGTACATAGCAATCAGAATGTAAACAGAAACATGAGCTTACAGCAACTACAAACATGCACAAATATACTGACAAAACAGACATAAAGAGAGAACTGAATACACAGAACTAGTTAGCAAAGCTGACAAATATACAGACACCATACAGGAAACAATGCAGCAAAGCTGTCAAATTTTCAGACCAAGTAGGCTTTTTTGGACAACACATTTGAGAGAAATGAAAATTACATTGAAAAGACTGGTAAATTCCATAGCTAAAAATAGTTAAATGTTAATAATTTTGAAAAATCTACTCCAAAATTTGTGAAATTTGTACAAATGATGCATAACAACAATAAAAATCTGTGATAAGCATATCAATTAAATATGTTTAATGAAAAAGACTTTTCCAGCCAATATATTTGAGAAAACTAAAAATTACATTGAAACTGCTGACAAAATCCATAGCTAAAAATAGTTGAACATTAATTATTTTGACAAACCTGGTCCAATTTCTGTGAAATTTGTACAAATGATACATATCAACAATGAAAATCTGTGATAAGCTTATCAGTTCACTGTGTGAAACAGAAGTGTAGTTTATTGGCAATTTGTGTAAGAAGAGTGAATTACTGAAAACAAATTTTTTTAATTTTTCAACATATCATTCAGTCTCAAACAAAACATCAAATGCCACAATTTGAGTTTGTTTGTGTAAGACATGATAAATTACCCATAACTGTCATCTGGATAAGAACATATACCCATTCAAGACTTCTACAGTAAGTGTCAGTTCACCAAGAAGCCACCATGCTGTATGGAAAGGGTCACCTGGAATTGAAAGACTGGCAAATAACATGGTTTAATAATAGATTAAAGTGAATACTTTTGACAAATCTACTCCTAAATTTGTGAAATTTGTACAAATGATGCATAAAAACAATAAAAATCTGTGATACGCATATCTGTTGAATATGTCCAATGAAGTAGGCTTTTTCGGGCAATATATTTGAAAGAACTGAAAATTACATTGAAAAGACTGGTAAATTCCATTGCTAAAAATAGTTAAACATTAATAATTTTGACAAATCTACTCCAAAATTTATGAAATTAGTACAAATGATACATGTCAACAATGAAAATCTGTGATACGCCTATCAGTTCACTGTGTGAAATAGAAGTGTAGTTTATTGGCATTTTGTGTGAGAAGAGTGAATTACTGAAAACAAATTTTTCAACATATCATTCAGTATCAAATGAAATATCAAATGTTACAATTTGAGTTTGTGGTAAATTACCCGTTATTGTCATCTGGAAAACAACATACACCCATTTTTGACTTCTGCAAGAAGTGTCAGTTCACCAAGAAGCCACCATTCTGTATGGAAAGGGTCACCTGGAATTGAAAGACTGGCAAATTACATGGTTAAATAATAGTTAAAAGTTAATACTTTTGACAAATCTACTCCAAAATTTGTGAAATTTGTACAAATGATGCATAACAACAATAAAAATCTGTGATAAGCATATCTGTTGAATATGTCCAATGAAAAAGACTTTTCCGGCCAATATATTTGAGAAAACTAAAAATTACATTGAAACTGCTGGCAAATTCCATAGCTGAAAATAGTTGAACGTTAATAATTTTGACAAACCTGGTCCAATTTCTGTGAAATTAGTACAAGTGATACATATTAACAATGAAAATCTGTGATAAGCTTATTACTTGACTGTGTGAAATAGAAGTGTAGTTTATTGGCAATTTGTGTGAGAAGAGTGAATTACTGAAAACAAATTTTTTAATTTTTCAACATATCTTTCAGTCTCAAAAGAAACATCAAATGCCACAATTTGAGTTTGTTTGTGTAAGACGTGATAAATTACCCATAACTGTCATCTGGATAAGAACATATACCCATTCAAGACTTCTACAGGAAGTGTCAGTTCACCAAGAAGCCAACATGGTGTATGGAAAGGGTCACCTGGAATTGAAAGACTGGCAAATTACATGGTTTAATAATAGTTTAAAGTTAATAATTTTGACAAATCTACTCCAAAACTTGTGAAATTTGTACAAATGATGCATAACAACAATAAAAATCTGTGATATGCATATCAGTTGAAGTAGGCTTTT